CTTTGGGAGCTTGGGGAGCTGACTCTAGAGGGACTGCTCATCTAGAGATTTGCTTGGCCCTAGAATCCCTTTCTGCTTTCCCCAGGCTGCATTGCCCCAGTAGGATGTGCAGCGTGTGACACTTAGCATGGGAGGGTGTAGTCTGCCAGGGAGGGGAGAGCCCAGGACCTCGGAGGTGGCTGGACCTGTGAGTGTGGGATCAGGAATGCCACTCTGGGAACTTGAGAGGGAGGAGGTGGAGGAAGAGATGAAGCTTTCTGTCACACACTGGCCTCTCACTGGCCAGGTTCATTGTGCATATGCTCCCCCTACCTGGCCCCTCCCCACCTTCCATCTCCTTCCAGCTTTGGCCTTGGCATCTATCTGGGCTGCATGAGCCCCTGCCCCCGGCTTGTCCCTCTGCCTCCTCTGGCCTGTGGAATTTCTCTGGTCTGTTTTACAAGCTGCCAATGTAGTCTCCCTGGCCCTCCCTTTCCCTGAGCCTCTTAAACCCGTTGGGCCAGTTTGCAGGGGCCCATTTCCTCATTGTTCTCTCACCCCCCCCTCTCCACCAGGCTCTCAGGTTTCGGTGTTTTCAGTGGACAAAGTCAAGAGTCCACTTGGGGCTTTTTTTGATCCATGGGAAACTTTCTTTTCATGTTTTTTTTCATGGGAAACTTTCTTAACTCTATGACTCTTCATGAGAAAATGGGGACCAAATGGCCAAGGTCACTGAGCTGTCCTCAATTTTGACCATTTCCTTTCCCTGTCATCTGAAAGAACCAATCTAACCATTAGACTGCTAGTTCTTTCATTTCCCACATCTGCCAACATGTGGCTCCTCACAAACCTGCTCCTGGGCGGATCAGCCCTTCCGCCACACACCTGAAACCTCCCCGTCCCCACTGCCTCCCAGGAGTCCAGGGACCCTGTTACTGCTAGTTGGATACCAGCCAGCTACTTACTGGGCCAGAGGTGATGGGATTGGGGCAGGGCAGGCTAATGAGTAACTGAGGAGAAGTGGCTCTGTGACAGGTAGAGGGTGCCTTCGCCCTCCCTGCCAGCTGGAATGGCAGAGGCAGACAGATCGGAGCAGAAATGACTGTGGCCACGTTGCTTCCCAGAGTGCAGTTGGTGAGGAGAGAGCCCTGGGAGTGTGCCAGGGAAGGGAGCAGCAGGGTCAGGCGTCTGGTGAGAGCTTAGGGTCTGGACTCCATGTTGCCTTGTGTGAGATGGCTGTTTACCTGTCTCTGGGGCTGATGCAAGGCCCCGGGCTGCCCTGGCCCTTTGGCCCCGCCTTGCTCTGGCCCTTTGGCCCCGCCTTGCTGCCCTCTGTAACTGAAGGCGGGTAGGTTTCCGGTTTTCCATCTTGAATCATTTAGAGCCCTGCTTTCTGACCCACTCCAGAGATACGTCCAGTGCTGGCCCCTGACCCACAGGTCCCGGGGCTGAGGATAGTGGAGGTGAGGGAGTCACTCGGTGCAGGGGGGCTGCTGGGTCTTACCTCTCAACCACCTCGTGCTCTCAGGCAAGGGGTGGTATGCTCTGTCAGGCCCAGGCCAGACGTCCTTGACCTGGATCTGGACGATCAGGAGGTGCGCTGTCTGGGTAGGACTGTGCCATGAATAAATCATGTGGCTTCTGGGCGCCAGCAGTCTAGGCACCTCTGGTTCTGAAATTGTGGATGAGTAGGACCAAGAGTCCAGGCCAGGGAAAGGTTGTGTTACGAGGGAAAATGAGACATGACTGAGAGGGGCCCCTAGACCAGTCTCCCTCCTGCTCTACAAATCTGCCTTGGCTCAGGGAACAGCCTTTCACAAATATGCTTTAAGATCGCTTACCATGGTACCCCAGTAGTTAAATTCTTGGCTGCTGAGAGGCTGGGGGTTTGAGCCCACCAGCTGCCCTGTGGTAGTCCGTACAAAAACATGTACAGCCTTGGAAACCCTGTGGAGGGGAGTTCTGCTCCGTTCCCTTCCCGCAGCGCTGTTAGGTGGCAGCATCGTCTGAACAGCAATAGATTTTGGTTTTAGACCATGTGACAGGCATTGGGGACACCCATAGTCTTTGCCCTCCAGGAGCCTACAATCTTGTGGCAGAGACAGGCAGGAAATAAATAATCCCCTCAAAAAATAGATACAAAGGAATTGATCACAGGGATCAACTTATAACCGCCTCCCAGGGGGATGAACAGTGGAAAAGTGGGTGAGGGGTTGACGGAGAATGATGAAGGAGGGTGGGCAGGGGAGGGAGGGAGAATAAGTGGGGAGCTGATATCAGGGGCTCAAGTGGGAAGAGAATGCTTTGAAAATGACGATGACAGTGTATGTGCAAATGTGCTTGACACACTGGATGAATGTATGGATTGTGGTAAGAGATGTAAGAGCCCCCAATAAAAGTATATATAACAAAATAGATACAAATACACTGAGGTGAATTCTCCGAAGGCCAACTGCAGAGGCTGTAAACATGGTTCCCACCTGGTTTGGGGGAAGGGCTGGTCAGGGGCGTCTTCTCTGAAGAAACAAGGAACCAAGTGAGGCCAGGAAGTTTCTGTTGGTGGGTAGGGCATGTGTGAAGGTAACATTTATCGTCGTGATAACATAGTTACAAGAAAGAACAAAGTTTACATGTGCAACTTGATCTTGACAGTGGCATATGCCTTGTGGACTTTGTGATTGTCCGACTTAAGTCTCACAGGTGATAGCATTCTACCAGTTTTTGCAGAGGAGGAAACTGAGGCTCAGAAAATTTGTGATTTTCATAAATGCAGTCAAATAAAATTTAAGCATTTGTTATTAAAAAAAAAAAAGTAGTGATTCCCCCCAGGTTATATACCTCAAGCAGAGTTGGATTCTGATAGCCCGGGGCTCTCCGGCCAAGCCGGGCTGGCTCTGGCTGGGGGCTTTTGGTGAACTTAGCCCTTTGCCTTCTAGCTTCGTTCCTGCGCCCGGTCTAGCCCTTGCCCACGCCATATCTCGCTGTTTGGAGTATTGGGGTCAGTGGGGCGGTTAAGGCTCCTCTCCAGTGCCTGAAGAATGGAACACTGGGGGTCCATGGATGGACTTTAAGGTGTCCACGGACCTGTTAAAGTCCATGGCCAAAGCCTGGGCCGCTGTCTGCTGGAGGAGGTGGCTCTGTTCATTTCCTCAGATGCAAACCCAGTGCCCGAAAGACAAAACAGCCACTGCTAACAATCGGCTCCTCCTGCCCTGTTTCCTTCTCTGGGGAATGCTGGGAGTGCGCTTCCTCAGGAGGCTGTGTCTACCCCCCCAGGCCTGGTGCTCCTTATCTTACTCTGGGGTGGGTGTGGGGTGCTGCAGGGCCTGGCCAAGTTTCCTTGGCCCAGAGCTCTGCAGGGAGGTTGAGTTGCCTGTGTGTGTTTCTCCTGGCACGCCGCAGACGCCGCCTCCAAGTTGGTGCTAGGTTCTGGTGGAGCCAGCAGAAGAGTGGGGAGGTTGTGTTTTGTTTGTTTTTTTCCCTTTGCCTGGAGTCTCCTGGCAAACAGAGCCTGCCTGGAGTACATCCCATATGCTATCTCTGAGCTGGGTGATGGGGATCTCAGGAGCAAGCCCGTGGATCGATGGTGGCTTCTCGGGGGCGGGAGCACATCTACCTGTGTGGGACCCCCTGGACTGACTCACTTCAAATGTTATTTCATTTTTTCCTTAGATAATACATCCGGGTGGTTCCAAATTCAAAAGGGATAAAAAGATACACAAATAGCAAGCCAGTCACTTTCTCATTCTTGTCCTTAACCCTCAAATTTGAGTAGCCTCCCCAAAATAGGGTGGTATACTGTGGGGGGGTGTCTGCTTGATTTTCAATGAGTCTGGCCGTGAGATGAAAGTGCCTTGTCAGCAAGAGTGAGATTCTGCCCTCTCGGGGGAGGCCCAGAGCAGAGAGACACGGTGGTATCTGTGTGGCTATCAAGCCAACACTGTAACCTCTTGACAAAACCAAGGCACTCTACATGCTCCAGCAGAGGACACGGATTGTTCTAGGCCAAACTCACTGCCACTGAGTCAATTCCGACTCGTGGCAACTCTATAGGGCAGTGGCTCTCATCTTGGGGGTCTAATGACCCTTTCACAGGGGTTGCCCAATTCATAACAGTAGCAAAATTACAGTGACCAAGAAGCAATGAAAATAGTTTTATGGTTGGGGGATCACCACAACATGCAGAACTGTACTGAAAGGACACGGCATTAGGAAGGTTGAGAACCACTCCTATAGGGTCTTTTAGGCCAGCGGGTCTCAAAATGTGGTAACTGGACCAGTCGCATCAGCATTTTCTGGGGGCTTATTAGAAATGCAAATGCTTAGGCCCCATCCTAGACTTACTGAATCAGAACTTCTGGGGCTGGGCTCCAGCCACCTATGTTGATGAATAAAGCCTTCCTAGGGATTCTGTTGTGAGGAGCCCTGGTGGTGTCGTGGTTAGGAGTTACGCCGATAACCAAAAGGTCAGCAGTCTGAAACCATCAGCCACTCCTTGGGAGGAAGATGGGGCTTTCTGTTTTGTGAAGAGGTACAGTCTTGTAATCTCACAGGGGCAGTGCTGCCCTGTCCTAGAGGGTCATTATGAGTCAGCATCAACTTGATGGCAGTGCGTTTGGTTCATTAGTGATTCTGTTGGAGCTGGTGGCACAGGGGGTGACTTAGGCTGCTAACCTCAAGGTCATCAGTTTGAACCCATCAGTTGCTCCTCTGGTGGAGAAAGACGAGGCTTTCTATTTCCGTAAAGATTTAGTCTTGGAAACCCCCGGGGCAGTTCCACTCTCCTCTGGGGTCATGATGCGTTGGAATTGACCACCTCGTGGCAATGAGGGGTGAGTGTATTGCTTGGTTAAATTTTGAGAACCTCTATTCTCTAGAGAAGGAGCTGACAAGACTTGGAGTCCCACGAAAGCTAGGCAGGTGGAGGTTTCTGGATTTCGAAGTCAAGTCTCCATGGGAAGTGTTGAAATGCCTCTCTCTCTCTCTCTCTCTCTCTCTCTCTCCCAGGACTCCTCTTCATCATGGAGCAGGCCGCCACCATGGTCGAGCCCAGGGGCCCCCTAGACCATGGCGTCCAGATTCGCTTCATCACAGAGTCAGTGGGTGGTGCGGAGCCGGGCACCCTACGCCGAGCCGGGCGACGGCCAGCCAAAGATGCAAGAGCCAACAGCTATGGGGTCGCCGTGCGTGTGCAGGGCATCGCCGGGCAGCCCTTCGTGGTGCTCAACAGTGGGGAGAAGGGTGGTGACTCTTTTGGGGTCCAAATCAAGGGGTCCAACAACCAAGGGGCCCCGGGAGCTCTGAGCTCAGACTTGGAACTCCCTGAAAACCCTTACTCTCAGGCCAAGGGTGTTCATGCCTCCTCGCAGGGCAGCACCTCCGATGAGGAGCCTGCGGCTGGCTGGAAAGGAAGGCTCCTCCGTTCCCAGTCCCAGGCCTCACTGGCGGGCCCTGCCCCTCTGGCTCCTAGCACCAGGAGCACCAGCCTGCTGGAGTTAGCCCCTCAGGGCACCACCCCGGGTAGCACCATCGACACGGCTCCCCTGTCTTCAGTGGACTCACTCATCAATAAGTTTGACAGTCACCTTGGGGCCCAGGCCCGGGGCCGGACGGGCCGCCGTCCACGGACGCTGCCCCATGAGCAGCGCAAGCGGAGCCAGAGCCTGGACAGCCGGCGCCCACGGGACGTGCCTGAGGATCGGGAGCGGCAGTCTCCTGCTCATCTGTCCCCCGGCACAAAGTATGATAGCTCGAGACAGCCGGTCCAGAGCCCGAGCTCGCTCAGTGGCTTGAGCCGTTCCCAACAGACCCAGGATTGGGTCCTGCAGAGCTTTGAGGACTCTCGTGGGAGAGCGCCAGACTCCGCTTTGCTGCAGGTCAGAACTCACGCCTGCCTCAGCTTCCTCCCCTGCACCCCACTGGCCAGCCCCTCGAGCCCTTGCTGATAATTCAGATAACATAGACCTTTTCTTTTAAGTCATCCAGCCACTCGGTGGGTGATTTTCACGTGCAAACCATATACTTTTGTGGGTGAAATTCTAAAGGAAACGGGGCTGTGAAGGCATCATTCACAAGCGTGGAGAGTCATTTGTCATTGCCCCAACTATGAACTGTGGCTCTTTCGCCAACATTGGCCAGTCGGCCCCAAGTTGGGCTTGGAGGATGGGAGGGTTGTTGGCTGGTTGGGGCTCTCCCACTCAGGAATGCAACCGAGTGAGAATGTGCCTTTACTCTGAGACAGAGTGGAACTACTCATTCCAAACACCAGGATATTGACTAGCATGACCGACACACGCCTTGTGACACAGCTTCCCAGCTGGTTGAGCCCTGCATGCCGGGGACCGTCTGATTTGCAACAATAGCAAGAGGTAGCCTCTGCTTGGACCTCTCCCAGCCTGTGGCACAGGCTTCAGTAGGGTTGCCTCCTGTGCCGTCGTGTCAGGCTGGTTTACCAGGTGTGAAAGGCCTTCTCTCCCAGCTGCCACTCCTCCATCTAAACCGCACACATCTCTGGCCTCATCTCCCGATTCCTTTGGGCTTCTGTCTTTACAGTTCAAATCAACCCCAGACCTCCTCCGAGACCAGCAGGAGGCAGCCCCACCGGGCAGCGTGGAGCACGTGAAGGCCACCATCTACGGCATCCTGAGGGAGGGGTGAGTAGGGCCACCCCACAGCGGAGGCACACTTCACCTCTGTGTTCCTTCTGCCTCTTTCCCCCTTCTTCCCTGCCCTTGACCTCATCCCTGCTGCCTCTCCCTTGGCTAACCTTCGCCTCTGCTCCTTCGCCAGAAGTCCCGAAAGCGAAACCTCAGTGAGGAGGAAGGCCAGTTTGGTGCTGGAGCAGATGCAGCCCCTGCTGGTGAGTGGCCTCTCCTGGGTGGGAGCAAGGGCCAGGGCCAGAGCCTGGAGGCCCTGGCCTCACTTCCCGCTCCCTGCCCGTGTCTCTGGCAGATGGCCTCTCCTGGTCCTGCGAAGACCTTGGCAGGGCAGGGCGAGCTCACCCGAAAAATGGAGGCGCTGCAGCAAAAGCTGGATGATGAAGTGAAGGTGAGGAGAGGTTGAAGATAGGGGGGGCGTTGATGGACCCCAAGGCAACCGCCTGGACTTGGAGGCAGACTGGACTGGCACCTCTAAGTGCTGGGACCAGCCCTCTTGTGTCCTGTGAGGCAAGAGGCGGGCACGATCCCAGGGAGGACTCTGGGGGCTCTCCAAAGCTGAGAGAGGCAGAGCACAGGAGCAGACCAGTGACTCCCCATTCCGTTTCCTTGTCTCTGCCACTTACGTACCAAATGCCCAAGTCACCCACTCAAATCACTCTGTTTACCTTTCAAGACTAGGGGAGTTGAATCACTTATAATATTACAGATGATGACTAAAATAGTAGCTGTCATTCATTGAATATGATTTTTTTATTAGGCAGTACCCTGGCTAACGTGTAAATCATTCTAGCCAACTTGTCAACCAGGCATTCTGGAGTCATTTGTGATAATTAAGTGAATGTAGGTTTGTGATAATTAAGTGAATGTAGGTTTTGGAGAAGGAGTTAAATGACTAAGGTCCGTTTTAGTCCAGAGCCTATGTATTGTATTTATATTTATATTTCATGCAGCATCCACCCCAAAATATTAATATTTCCTGGCATGTAATTGGTGCTTAGTGAGAAATAATTGGTGGGTGATGGAGCAGTCCAGTGAGCCTTGCAGTTGGCACCCCTAACCGACAGTGCCACCAGGGCGCCTTGCTTGACATATAGCCAATATTTAATACATGTTAGACATTCCCATTGCCTCTCCCTCTGAGCGACTTTTCCCAGCCTCGATCTTCTCCTTTTCCTTGTCCAGAAGCGGCAGAAGCTCGAGCCGTTCCGGATGGGGCTGGAGCGGCGGCTGGAGGAGCAGGCTGAGGAGTGCAGCCGACTGCAGGAGCTGCTGGAGCGGAGGCAGGGGGAAGCCCAGCAGAGCATCAAGGAGTGAGTGTGCCTGCGGGGCTGCTTGGTGGGGCCTGCTGGAGCTAGATGCCCATCCCTGAGCCAGGTGCTAGGGCTAAATGCCCTGACCTAGGTGCTCAGGGAGGCAGAGGAAACCTCCGGAAGCTAGAAGAGGCAGAGATGACTTAAAGCCAGAATCTCTTTACCCTCTTGGTTGGCTGGGTTGTGTAATGGTTAGAGCCCCATTGGGGTCCATTGGGCTGCCTTTGTGGCTTGTGGTTTTCATCTGTAAAGTGGGCGTGTGAGAGTGCTGGCCACACAGGAGAAGTGTGGGCTTCCCTCGTGCAGTAGACGCTGTCACCGTGAGTATTTGGGGGCAGGCACTGGCGGTCACCAGGGAACCAGGCAGATCAAGAGCCCTCCTCTCTCTAGAAGCCAGGCTTCTCGAACAGAGAGTGAGTAATAAATGTGCCAGGTAAGCCAACGTGCAGCATTTTAACAGGGGAAGTCGAGCAGACGGTAAATAAGGTGGTCAGAGCAGGACCTCTTGGAGACAGAAAGAAAGACTTGAAGTGATTTACTAGCTAGGTAAAGTTTTGGAAGCCCCCTGACACATATTGTTACATATGCTTCATTCAAAAAAGGTTACATATTGTTAACTCTTAGACTCCAGAACATGAAGCTCCTGCTGGACCAGGGCGAGCGGTTAAGACATGGACTGGAGAGCCAGGTGATGGAGCTGAAGAACAAGCTGAAACAGGCCCAGGGGCCAGAGCCCGCTAAGGAGATGCTGATGAAGGTAAGAGCCGGCATGGGGATCTTTATCCTTGGAGCATCCTCATGTCCCGTACCCACAGTTTCTCCAGAGTTCGGGGGAGCAGCTGACTTATTAAGGATTGCCATTAGTGTGCTTTTAGGCAGACCCAGTGGTGGAGTGCGCTGGGCTGGGGTGGGAGCCCGGAACAGTGGGTTTCCTTTCTGTAAGGAAGCATCCTGCAGGGCAGAGAGCACTGAGCACCCTGACTGGCACATAGAAGGTGCTCAGTGAGTATTTGTTTGCGGGATGAAAGAACAGGTGGATAGACAACCTTAATGTGGCCACCGTCTGCTCCCACCCTCCCTCTCCCCAGGACCTGCTAGAGACCCGGGAGCTTCTGGAAGAGGTCTTGGAGGGGAAACAGCGGGTCGAGGAGCAGCTGAGGCTGCGGGAGCGGGAGTTGACAGCCCTGAAAGGGGCCCTGAAGGAAGAGGTGGCCTCCCGTGACCAGGAGGTGGAAAATGTCCGGCAGCAGTACCAGCGAGACACAGAGCAGCTTCGCCGGAGCATGCAGGATGCTACCCAGGCACGCGCCAACAGCAGGGGTTGGGCCACCCACATGGACACAGCCAGGGAGTGAGGGGCAGGCCGGAGTGGAGCCTGCCTTGGAGTCTTGAGGCCTTGCTATTTTGGTTTTTTCGTGGTTGTAATTAGCAACTCACCATATAGAACACATGGGAGATGTAGTGAGAACCTGGGCTAGAAACCGCGACAGCAGAGTGCAGGCCAGACTGCGACGAGGGTGTGTTGTGGCCAGGTGGGGAAGTAACGGGGAGGTTTCCTGTAGATGTAGGCAGGCTGTGACTTAAAGAATGCCTTCTGCCGGTATTGCACCTGGTACCACTGGGGTTCCAGGCTGGCAGGGTGCCTTCTGGGCCTGAGCGCCCCTCCGACGCACCGATACCTTGATTCAAAGTGAGCTTTTCCCTCTGAGGCCCCGGTCCCTCTCGCGCCCCTTCCCTAGGACCATGCGGCCTTGGAGGCTGAGAGGCAGAAGATGTCATCCCTGCTCCGAGGCTTGCAGAGGGAGCTGGAGGAGAGCTCGGAGGAGACAGGGCACTGGCAGAGCATGTTTCAGAAGAACAAGGAGGAGCTTAGAGCCACCAAGCAGGAGTAAGGGTCCCATCATTCACTCCACTCTCTTTCTCCCCACGCCCCCTCCCTGACTCTCCACATCTGCCTGCCTTGAGGGTTGGTACCCAGTGAGCCGGCCTCTAGACCAGTGGCTTGAACTTGTTCCCTCTTCCTGGATTCAGACTCCTGCAGCTGCGGATGGAGAAGGAGGAGATGGAAGAGGAGCTTGGGGAGAAGACGGAGGCCCTGCGGAGGGAGCTAGAGCAGGCCCGGGCTGGTGCTGGGGACACCCACCAGGTGGAGAAGCTCAAGAAGGTACTTGCAAGGTGGCGGGTAGAAGGGCCGGTTGTGGTGAAAGGCACCGACCTTCCTCACTTTCTCACCAGGAGCGGCTTCACCAATAAGCATGGTCTACCTGGACTTAAAATAAGTGAAGTTCACCCAGGCTCAATGGTGCTCACTTTTCCAGTCTGCATCTCTCAGGTGGAATTGGTCACTATTAACTCTTAGCAGCATCTCTCGGTTGGAATTGCTCGCTTAAGAACTATTAAGCTCAGGCACAACTCGTTTCTTGCGTCATCTACCCTTGCTACCCAGGAGGGCCGCCACCCAGGTGGCTCCGGTGTGCTTGGTTTGCAGGCCCCACCCTGCTCCCCAGGCTCAGCTAGAGCTCCAGCACACACCGTCCAGCCCAGCAGTGCCAGTCTCTCTCCTGGCTGAGCAGAAACGTTTCCAACAGAAAGAGCTCCCGGAGGCCAGCTTGGAGGAAAGCCAGCAGACAGTTGGCGGCCTCCCAAGAGACCTCCTGGGTAGCAGCATTGGGTTAGATTTTGAAAAACCCCAGGGTCATTTTTGTAGGCTCAGAACCTTCCTTTAGTCGGCATAGCAAGAATTGGCTCTCGCAGAAAGGACTCAGAAACCACACTAGGGAAGCCAATGTTTACAGTTACGAGGCCAGATTATTAACTTAATAATGAATCACAAGAACTATTGTCACATGAACTGGAAAGTTTGTGTTGGCCTGGCCAGCTGACCTCCATGGGAAGCCAAATTGTAATCTGGAGGCTGTTTCAAGAGTACAGAATCGGGGCTCGGGGATGGCGCTCCCAGGGTTCTGTGTGTGCGCCCCTCTAGTTAGCACGGCCCTCTGATGGGCCTGCAACGTGACGTTTGGGATAAGAGTTATCCTCTTTAAAAAAAAAATTTTTTTAAAGAAAATCCTCATTTTATCATCAATGAATGTCAAATTTTTATGTATGATATATATAATGATCATAAAATTAAAGGTGAATGTATAAATCATTTCTTCATAATCCTTTAGTGTTTTCATTTAATAGGGATGAATAGGACAACTAATTTTTTAGACAATTTAGACAACTTTGAAAAGCATTTCCATTCATTATGGAGACGGGCATGTATGGCCTCTTGCTGTGCTCCTAACCACAAGGTTAGCACTTCAAACTCACCAGCCACTGCTCAGGAGGAAGGGGAGGCTGTCTGTTCCCCTTAAAGGTCCACGGCCTTAGCAACCTGCCCCGGACACCATGAGTCGAAGTAGACTTGACGGCATTGGATTTGGTTTCATTCGGAGGCTTCTTCTAGTTCTATATTTCCTTAATTTGTTCAGTGGGTGCTTGGCTAACAAGTTAATTCATCCATGCTTGTTTATCATGTCCTGGCGGTGTAGCAGTTATGTTTTGGACTGCAATCTGCAAGGTCAGCAGTTCAAAACCACCAGCATGCTCCATGGAAGGAAGGTAGGGCTTTCTACTCCTATAAAGAGTTACGGCCTCAGAACCTCACAGGGCCAGTTCTACCCTGGCCCTTCCGGTTGCTATGAGTCGGCATTGACTCGATGGCAGTGAGTTTGGTTTTTGGTGTGTATTACATCTGCCTCTATAAAACTGCCTAGTTGTATAGGCAAGCCAATGATAATTACATATATTTTCTAATTTTATTGGGGTAAATTATATGTAACAAAAAATTGCTCTTTTAATTATTCATGTATTAACAACAGGGACATTAATAGGCTACCCACATTATGTGACCATGACCATTATCCATTTCTAAATGTTTTTCATCGCCCTAAACCATAGGTTCCCAAACGTATTTAGCCTACCACCCCTTCAAAACAAAAACGACTCTGCTCCCTTGGCAACAAAAAACTTTTGCACTGTAGCCATAATCCAGGATACAGTGTGCCCATCTGTTTTTACAGCCCCACCGGATCATTCCAGCACCCACCAAGTGGTGGTATTGCCCACTTGGAAACATGGCCCCAGACAGAAACTTAGTACTCGTTAAGCAAGTTGATTATATTTGTAAACAAGTAAAGAAACATAGCTAAGGAATGATTTTCCCAGAGAGATAAAATTCTGAACGTACACAAAATATTTGGTGGAGACAAGCATTAAGTTAAAGCGTGGTTCGTATGGCGGTGTTATTATGCAATGTAAAATTGTAGTTCCTCAAGGAAGACTCATGAAAGAACGGTGATGAGGGTAGACAACGGGACATCCCTTGCAGAGGGGTGGTGGGGAGGAGACGAGTCACTCAGGGTTCAGTGTAGCAATAATGAAACTCACAACCTTCCTCCAGTTCTTAAACGCTTCCTCCCCTCAACTAGCATGATCCCAGTTCTACCTTGCAAACCTGGTTAGACCAGAGGATGCACAGCGGTACAGATGGGACCTGGAAACACAGGGAATCTGGGACAGATGAACCCCTCAGGACCAGCGGTGACAGTGGCGATACCGGGAGGGAAGCGGGGGTAGGAAGGGGGAATCGATCACAAGGATCTATATATAACCTCCTCTCTGGGGGATGGGCAACAGAAGGGTGGATGAAGGGAGACGCCGGGCAGTGTAAGATAAGATAAAATAATAATTTATAAATTATTAAGGGCTTATGAGGGGGAGGGGGAAGAAAAATGAGTTAATTCCAGGAACCCAAGCGGAAAGTGAATTTTGAGAATGATGAGGGCAACAAATGTATAAGTGTGCTTTACACAATTGATGTATGTATGGATTGTGATAAGTTGTATGAGCCCCAATAAAATGATTTTTTTAAAAAAGAATAGTGATGAGAAAAATACATGAACATCTTTACGATATTGTTTTGAAGTTATCAAGAACCAGGGAGAGTGTGAGGTCTGTAAACTATACCAGCTGACACAGTGAACGGGGACCTACCTCTGGACAGTTGCTGTTAATTTCTCAACTTGGGTAATGCTCAAGAGCTAAAAGGCATTAAGTAGTGAGCCATGGTGGTGCTGTGGGTTAAAGGTAGGCAGTTCAAATCCACCAGCCCCTCAGGAGAAAGATGAGGCTTCTCTTATACAGATTTACAGTTTCAGAAACCCTAAATAGGGTCACTCTTAACCAGAATTGACAGGAAGCAGTGGGTTGTTTTGGGTTTAGTGTTTTATTTGTGTCATACATTACATGTATTTTATCAAGATTAAAATCAATAAGCCAATTATACATTAGATAAACTTACCAAGTCTAACATGGACCATACACTGCTGTTTTTCTTTTGTAATTAGTTGTTTTAGTGTCTGGCCTTGAAGACTTACTATATATTATTATATGATTCTTTAGACTAATTGGGTTCTTTCTGAATTTTTGAAGTAGCTAATAGCTAAACAATTAGAATCAGAGCTCATTTTATTTGCTGTGTATCAGAGCAGCACCAGCCTTTATTGTGCTACACCTTTAAGTTTTCATTAAGTTTTAAAATCAGCCAAGTCCCTTTCCCTGCACCCTACTCTTTTGCCTTTGTTTTGTTGTTCGTGTACTCACTGTTGTATTTGACAATCCATCATTGAAGAAAATTAGGTCCCAAAGCTTTGCTGCTTTATTTTTTTCTAACAACTGCCTGATTTTTTCATAGTCACTGCCCTATTTTACTTTCCTACCAGCAGTATTTAAGGGTTCCAATTTTGCCACATCTTCACCAATACTGGTTATTTGTTCATATTAGTGGGGATGAGCCAGAACACCTGGTAGCATAGTGGTTTATGCGTTTAGGCTACTGACCTCAAGATTAAGATGTTTGAAACCACCAGCTGATTCGTAAGAGAAAGACAAGATTTTCTACTTCCGTAAAGAGTTACAGTTTGTTGGTGGTTTTTTAAAATTTTTGCATGGATATGAAGTAGTATCTCATTATGGTTTTAATTTCTTTTTGCTAATTCCTAATAATGTTGGGCATCCTTTCATGATTATTAGTCATGAATTGTATCTTCTTTAGATAAATGTCTATTCTGATCCATTGCTCATTTTATAATTGGTTTTTTTAAAAATTATTGGGTTGCAAGTGTTTCTTTAAATGAGGCAGAGCTTTTATTCTAGATAAATCTCCCTTATGAGATATATGATTTGCAAATATTTTTTCCACTTCATTTTGTGAGTTATCATTCTACTTTCTCAATTGTGTCATTTTCCCCCTCTTTCATAACTTCTTTTAATTGTTTGTTTTAACAGTTTTATTGGGACATAATCCACATAGCATAAAATACAATTGTAAAATTGTAAGAGTTGTACAATTCTTAGCACAATCAATTTTAGAACAGTTTCTTCTTTCATGTACTCCTTGTTATTAGCTCCCCATTGCCCCCAACCTCTCCTCAATCCCCCAAAGAAATGAATTCAGTTACTGTTTATAGATTCACCCATCCTGGGTTTCATATGCTGGAAAACGTAACCAAACAAAAGCAAAGAAACAAAACAGTTAACAATATCAAAATAAGTAAAAATAGAGAAAAACATTAACAGGAAAAAATATGCAGCAAATTTTTACAACTACAACAACTTTAAAGTGAGGTAAAGGGAGATCAAATAATAAGGTATTAAATTTTAATCTAACAGTATCTCCCATAATTCACTTTCCAGTGCATACTGTATGATAGCAAGACTTTTCACACCCCTGGTCTAGGTTCAAAGAGAATTCGCTTGAGGACTAATCCATGTGTATTTCCACTTCAATTCAAAAACAAAAATGCAACTTTCATTTATTTATTTTTTAAAATCATTTTATTGGGGGCTTGTACAACTCATCATAATCCATACATCCATCCATTGTGTCAAGCACATTGGTACATTTATTGCCATCATTTTCTTTTTTTTTTTTTTTGTAATTAAAAAAAATCATTTTATTGGGGGCTCATACAACTCTTATCACAATCCATACATACATCCATTGTGTCAAGCACATTTGTACATTTGTTGCCATCATCATTTTCTTTTCATTTGAGCCCTTGGTATCAGCTCCTCATTTATCCCCCTCCCTCCTCCACCCTCTCTCCCTCACAAACCCTTGATAATTTATAAATTATTATCATTTTTTCATGTCTTATACTGACCGATGTCTCCCTTCACCCACTTTTCTGTTGTCCATCCCCCAGGGAGGGGGTTATATGTAGATCATTGTGATTGGTTCCCCCTTCCTCTCCCCACCTTCTCCAACCCCCTCCTGGTATCACTCCTCTCATTATTGGTCCTGAGGGATTTATCTGTTTTGGATTCCCTATATTTTCAGTTCTTATCTATACCTGTGTACATGCTCTGGTCTAGCGGAATTTGTAAGGTAGAGTTTGGATCATGACAGTGGAGGGGAAGAAGCATTCAAGAACTAGAGGAAAGTTGTATGTTCATCGGTGCTATACTGCACCCTGAGGACTGGCTTGTCACCTCCCCGAGACCCTTCTGTAAGTGGATGTCCAGCTGCTTAAAGATGGGCTTTGGGTCTCCACTCTGTGCTCCCTCTCATTCACAATGATAGGATTTTTTGTTCTTTGATGCCTGATACCTGATCCTATTGACTGACACCTTGTGATTACACAGGCTGGAGTGCTTCTTCCATGTGGTTTTGTTGCTTCTCAGCTAGATGGCTGCTTGTTTATCTTGATACAACTTTTAATTGATTCAAATAGGGGATCAAATAAGATGTTACATTTTAACCTACTATATCTATTGTAATCCTCTGATAACAAAGCTATTCACATCCCTCCACTATAGTCAGAGGCTTAATTTATGTGGACACACTGTAAGTGGATTTTGGACTTCCACTGTTATCCGTGGCCTTCTGCAAACTGATCGTTCACAATCAATTGTGTCTTTTGATGCACAAAATTTTAAAAATTTGATGAAGTCCAATTTACATATTTTTTCCTTTGGTTGTTTGTGCTTTGTATTTCATACCTAAGAAACTTATCTAATCCAAATTCACAAAGGAAAAGGGTTTTCTTTTTAAACTTAAATAACTTACTGTTTAACATCTCTGATCCCATTTGAATTAATTTTTGTCTTTCGGGTGAGGTAGGCATCCAGATTCATCTTTTGTCTATGGCTAAACTTTTGGCAACATTTGCTAGAGAACTTAGTTCCCTACTGCATGGACTTGACCCTGTTATTGGAAATAAATTCTGGGTTTATTTCAGGACCCTTATTTCTATTTCACTGGTCTACTAGGATACTTTTAAAATTTTGTGGAGCTATAGAATAAAAAGGTAATGGAATTTTCCTACCAAGTTTTGGAAGTGTATATATATACACTTATATACATATATATGTTTTGTTTTTGTTGAAAATACATAGGAAAGCATACATCCAATACCACGACATTGGTTACATTCTTTGCATTGTGTCACCGTCCTTGCTACCGCTACTTCTGGTGTTTCACCACCATTGACCGTGGACTCTGCCCTCTCAGCTGCTCCTCGTGTTCCTGAACTGCTGGTGTCCATGGGATCTTAGATCATCTTCAAAAGCACTCAGGGCCAGCAGGTCTTACTAATTGAGCTCAACTATTTAAAGATGACTTCATGGAATAATTGTGGCTCGGGGTTTAAAGAAGATTACCTCTGGGCCATAGATTTCGGGGTCCACCCATTTCCAATGGGTTCATTACATCTGGCTTCTATAAGAATTTTGAAATCCTGTTCCTTAATTTCCCCTCTTTTGATCAAAATCTATCGAGCCCTCATGACCTTTGAATCAAGTCTCAGAAATGTCCTCCCGTTTGGATGTCTAGCTATCACTGAAAACCACGATTGGAAGCTATGTGATTTTCGTTTTTAATGCTCCAAGGGAATCATAATTAGGGACACGCTGTGCCTTCCACTAGTTTGCATTCATAAACAACGCATGCCCCATGCAAGTCTCTACCTCTCCCTTTTTACTCATGTAACTCCTTCCTGCACAGATGGCATGCCACCTTCTTGCACCCCTCTTCCCAAATGTACTCCTCCATCTGTCCAGGCTCAGTAGTGTCCTCTTGACCTTGACATCTTTCCCAGCAAGAGTTCTCCCTTTGAACTCTGTGATTAGAGTCTCTTGTTCACTTTGCCTTTGATTAATTCCTTTATTCATCCGTCACCATTTCTGCCTACTAAATTCTGGGCCCTGCTGGATTACCTGATCTGGAAAGGCGGGGGCCGTGTATGCCTCCTCCCTATCCTGTGTTATGTGTCAAAGTGCTGGTGCTTGGTACCCACTCAGCTGGTTTGAACGCAGCGGGGACTGTGGCCTTGCTGAGCGGCTGGCAAAGCTGCCCCGGGGCTCCAAGTTCTTGATCCCAAGGTAGACTTTAAAATCTTTTTACATATGACAAAACTCACTCAGTGAATTTTACACAGTTCTAGGTCGTTGACAAATACAATCCCTCCCCACCCCCCCAAACCAAACCATACCAGGACTCCAAGTCAATTCTGATTCATGTTCTTGTTCAGCGCCATTGAGGTGGTTCTGACCCCTAGCAGACCTTGGGCACAACAGAACACAACACTGCCCGGACCTGCACCCTCCTCACCATTGTTTCTGTACTGGAGCCCATTCTAGCAGCCACTGTATCAATCCATTCTGATTCTTAGTAATCCTTTCTGGAGCTTTTGAGACTGTGAATCTTGGCAGGAGCAGACAACCTTACTATTCTCTCACAGAGCAATTGGTGGGTTTGAACTACCAACCTGGTGGTTAGCGGCCCAACCTAGTGGTTAGAATTGCATATCCATTGCTCAGATCAAGTTACAGAGGAGTTCCAACTGCCCTACAAAAGTTCCTCCATGTGTCCTTCTGCAGTCAACCCCTCTCTGGCTCCAGGCTGTGAGACCACTGATTAATTTGGCTTTTATAGAATATCATCTAAATGACGTGAAGTATGGTAGCCTTTTTTGAGCGGGGCAATTTGATTTAGCAAAAACTAGCCATTGCTTGTTAATCCTAAAATCCCTCTGTTAAGCTAAGCAGCAAAGGCCCAAGAGACGCCTCAGTGATATTCTAGAACCAGACCTGGCGCATAAGGGACGCTTGTACCCAGTCCGGCTCTCATTGCCCTGCCACCATTCCCCCTCCATCCTAGGAGCTGCGCCGGACCCAGGAGGAGCTCCAGGAGCTGCGGGCAGAGCGGCAGAGCCAGGAGCTGGCCGGGCGGCACCGGGAGCGAGAGCTGGAACAGCAGCTGGGGGTCCTGAGCGGGGAGGCGGACCGAGGCCGGGAGCTAGAACAGCAGAACCTTCAGCTGCAGAAGACCCTCCAGCAACTGAGGCAGGACTGTGAAGAGGCTTCCAAGGCAAGGGGAGTGGGCACAGGGCCCACGAGGTGGAGCTGAGGGTCTGGAGGGCTGATGAGCCAGAGGGCATGGGAACGGCCTCTCGTGGGTATGTACCGACCAGGTCCTTGGTGCCAAGTGTGTGGTGCAGACTAGCCAGGAGGCAGCTGTGTGTCCTTCTGTTCTCTGGGGTGGGGTTCTCAGGGTGGCCTCCGGCTGGCACCACCACCCTCCCTTTCCCGGGAGGAGCATGCCCAGCCCCGTGGGCCCTGTGGTCTGAGCCTCCGCTCTCCGACCCGTCCGCAGGCTAAGGTGGCAGCGGAGACAGAGGTATCAGTGCTGGGGCAGCGCCGGACAACGGTGGAAGCAACGCTTCGCGAGACCCAGGAGGAGAACGACGAGTTCCGACGCCGCGTCCTGGGTCTGGAGCAGCAGCTGAAGGAGGCGCGAGGCTTCGCCGAGGGCAGGGAAGGCGTGGAGGCGCGACTTCGGGACAAGGTGCAGCGGCTGGAGGTCAGTGCTGCTGCGGTCCTGGTTCGGTCCATGGGCATCCATGTTATATTATCCTTACGGGTTGCTTATCCTGAGTTTGACCATGGCCTTGTACCCCCCAAGTGGACTGTGGTCCGACTCTGCACTAACATTTCTGCCTCCTGCTCTTGGCTTGCACTCTGTTTCTACATTCCTTTTTTTTAAAACTGGTTCCTTTGAGCCTGTTTGCCCTGTCCGCAGATCTCTCCCTCCACTTCCCTCCACCTGGCCAGTTACCCAGTTGCCAGCAAGTCCATTCTGACGTGAGATCACCCCAAAGACTGCTGTGTTAGTTTGGGTAGACTAGAGAAATAAATTCATACACACTCATGTGCATAAGAAAGAACTTTAGGGGTTGGGGAGTCATAA